ACATGGAGATTATTGTGAAGTTCTGTCAAACCAAACAGATCCTGCTTATATCAGACGAGATCTATTCGGACATCGCTTTCGACGGGATCTCATCCATGGAGAGTCCAATCAGATACACCAAGGTTGAGGACTCCTCTACATCTATTATAGTGACTGGCGGGCTTTCCAAAGTATGTTGCCATACTGAAGTGCACGCATATCTTGGTTATACAAGCTGACGCATGATAGACGTACTCGGCAGGTGGCTGGCGCGTAGGCTATGCAATCCTTCCTCGATCCGCAGCCGGGAGTAAGATCATGAAAGTTCTGCTTGCATATGCCTCTGAGTGCTGGTCCGCAGCATCGTCACCATCACAGCACGCCGCCGCAGAAGCTTTCTCTACAGGCGAACACATGACACAATATCGAGAGTCTGTCAGATTACTTCACGCGCACTGTACAACAAGACTCTACGAAAGTCTGCGAGACCTGGGTCTGAAAGTTGCTAAACCCAGTGGCGCTTTCTACGTGTATCCGTCTTTCCAGCCGTACGCGAAGCAGCTGGCTAAGGTTGGGGTTCGAACTAGTGCCGAACTGTCTCAATGGCTTATCGCGCAGTGTGGTATTGCAGCTCTCCCAGGTTCAGCTTTTGGTGAAGATGATGACGGTCTTGAAGGTGGTCGACTACGACTTCGCATGGCTACAAGTTATTTGTACTTCAAGGATCAGGAAGAAAGATACACAAAGGGTTATGGACTGTTGCAGCAAGCGGCCGCTGGTCGAGATCTGCAACTGCCTATGTTAGATATGGCGATATCTGCCCTTGCAGCGGCAGTTGAGAAGATCAAGAGTATTTGATCAAAGAACCGGTTGATAGGCTACCCTGAGAATTTCTTGTTTGTTGCCCTAGACTTTCATAGCGAATTACTGTCTTGTGCGATCAGAATGACATTCGAACCTATTAGCAAGAAGAGTGACCAGTCGCAAAAGCATTGGGATCTCATAAGAACTACAATGCTTTTCTAGTCCACCTTCTGGCTTCCCAGCTCTTGCTTCCAGATTTCACCTCTTTCGCAGCCCGCCAAGCTGTCTCTATGCTATCCTTTTTGTAGTATAGTATCCATACGCGCGATTATTCTAGCTCTCTTAAGGAAGTCTTTTTGCTCTCAATCTCAGGGCAGTTGTTTGTGTCGCACATGAGACTAATTCGAGCCTGGTGCTATGCAGAGCGGGTGGCTGCGAAGGTCGTCTAATGGCGTTGATCACTTTGACGGACAGGGAAAGCCGGAATTAGGAAAGGATTATAGAGTAATTTTCAAGATCGTTTCGAGCCGTCAGATACTTGAGGGTGACTTTTAATTCAGAATGATCCACCCCGGGTTGACTACAAACTAATTGACTTGTTCGTCGAACAGCTCCCAAAGTTCATGATTTCTGCAAGATTTGTTCAATCACATGGGCCGCACCAAGTACTTTTTCCTCCTCAAGACGCTGTCCGACAATTTGTACGCTGACCGGCAGTCCGTGCATCTTGACTGGATCGTACAAAGCCCAGTTCCACCTATCCATATCGTTGCGAGGGACGTAAGCGCGTACTTCTTGATCCTCAAGGGGCTTGTCTATGCTCTTGTCGACTTGACCGGCAGGTAGCACCAACGCGGAACTGTCAAGGAAATTCCAGATCTTGGTGTAGCCAACCCATTTACACGATCTGTGAGGCACCGAGACATGCGGCATCGTAGGCGTTATGAGGATGTCGACTTTCCTATCTGTTGTGGGTGATCTAATGGTTTTCCACTTTGCAAGGCACGCCTTTTGCATGGCAAGCTTGCGTCTGTTGAGCTGCCAGTAATCGTATACAGATATGGCCGAGCCTCTCTTCATCAGCATGTCGACATGTGGTATGTAGGGTTCGCCAGCGGCGGATACGTCTCGCCGGATATCCTCGCCACCATCTGCAGTGTAGTAAAGGTCCTAAGCTCATTGTCAACAACCGAGATTCTATCGATCATCAGCGAAGGGACATACCATGATTTCTATACATTCTGCATGATGGTCTGAGTTCCATTGCACTATTTCGTGTCCGGCTGCACGAAGCTTGTTGACTACCTCGTGCAGAACTCGGATGATCGGAGGATGGGCTCTGACTGTACCATCGTCGACAAGTAAACCAATAACCAATGGTCTTTGTTGGACCTCGTCGAACATATCTGAGCGCCAGGGAATTGGAACGATCTGAGGATCAGCGTTCCACGGTTGTGCCTCGATGACTGCTTGGGTCACGTTCTTCAGGGACGAAAGGCTTCGAGCCAAAGGTCCAACCACTGAAGGAACGTGGCCCTGTCCTTCCGTGCTCACGCTAACCCGATCGTAGGGGAGGCGCCCATGACTTGGTTTCAAACCGTACAACCCCATCATGTGAGATGGAATGCGAATACTGCCCCCAAGATCAGTACCCCAGCCTACCAAAGACCCCATCTGAGAGAGAAGAGCAGATTCGCCGCCAGTGGAGCCTCCGGGGGTCAGGTCAGGATTGATGGGGTTGGTGGTCACACCCCACAATGGATTCTCTGTCTCGCACCACATGATGCTTTGAGGCAGGTTTGTCTTTGCGATGAAGATCGCTCCAAGGTCTTGGAGTATGTCCACCAGGAGCGCGTTCTCCTGCGCTGGCTGGAATGCTCGACCGCAGTACCCAAGGGTGCTGTCAAAACCTTTCACGTCGAACTGATCTTTGAGGGTCATCACGATGCCATGGAGAGGACCAACAGTCTTGCCATGTTTCTGGTAATAAGAATCTTGCTCACGCGCACGTGCAAGCGCGTCTTCAAACATGATTTCTGTAAGAGGTCAGTCAGATCGGGAACACTAAGGCTGGATCACGAGATTCTTGCCTGTGAGACAGTTGGACTACAACACTTGTTAGCTGAATGGCCACAGATTAACATTGCTCTTGATTAGATACCTTTTGGTGGGCCACAGCAGCTCTGCTCTAGTGTCAGCATATGTGTTTTTCGGCAAACATCCCTTGCAAGATCCACGGACTTACTGGTGACAATACGCAATCACAAGCTCCGAGGCAGACACTTTGCCCGATGCTAGCTCTTTAGACACTTCAGTGATATCCTTTGTTCCAATGAGCGATCCCGACGATTCGGGAACTGGGTGGGTCCTGGTGAAAGACGCGAGCGCCGATTGTTGCAACTCCCTCTTCATAATTGCGATCTCGAGCCATCTCGGCTTAGCTTGCACGTCGACCATGCCTTCTAGTGTAGCCAACGAAGAATTTTGGACAGCAAGAACAGAAATTGTGAACAACGTAAAGTAGAAGGCATGCGCTTATATACTGACACGTGTGGTAAGTCGGCGTTGAACAAGCCGTGGGGGTCAAAACGCCGACGGCGTTTCAACCTCCGAGAGATGCGGAGATAGGCCAACAAACGGTGCCCGGTGCCGAGGCGCATACCTGTTGATCATAGAAATGATGATGATGTGACTAACCGCTATCTGTCTGAAAAAATGTGTTACTGTCTTCACCAGGAATATCCCAAAGACCATGTTGAGCCGCATTGAAATCGCTTCCCATCGCAAAATCCATGTATGCTGATTCGTTCCATAAACCATCATCGATAGGCCAAAATTGGTCCTGCAGACCATCAAGATCCTGACGGATCGGCGATTCAGAGTCCGGGAGGTGATCAGATCTCGAGATATCTGCTGCTGGATCAACTGTGGCGAGTGATGCTGTGACATTGGTTGAGATGAACTTCAGAGTATCGTTCACGAGTGCCTCAAAGCGACTTTCGAGCGTCACCAACAGGTCTTCGTTCCACCTTTCGTTCATGATAGCTAGGCATATTGCACACTTTCTTACCCAGGCTGGAAAATCAGCCAGGAAGAACTGCAGACCAGTCATTGGTAGGAGTTTTTTGAAGTTGGTCCGGGCAGTCACCAACATCGTCAAGCCTGCAAACAAGACACCCTGGATGAGCATCCAGGATAGCGATATCCGACTATTGCGAATGACGTCGGTCATGTTATCGACATAAGCCGCAGCTGCTCGTATGCATTTTTCCAGGGCAGAAGCTGCAGGTCTTGGACACAAGGGGCTTGATCGATAGAGCACGAAAGAAGTCCCATTGTAAAGTCGTTCCCAGTATCTTTGTCATATTAGCCCCCGCCAAGAACAGGTCAGAATAGATGAACAAACTTGTACGAATATCCCGATCCTGGGCTGCTCTGGAAAGCCTCACGAAGCGAATCTCTCCACTCGTCAAGTTCGGCCTGCAAGTTGGACAAAATGGCATATTGATGCTCTTCAGACGATACTTGTTGTTTCTGGGCGGCACCGTAGACGCTGGCGACGATGCGGCCTTGGATTTGTCTGTGTCTTATATGATGAATACATATTGGCATGGTTGAGGGGATGACTGGTAGTTTTGCAGTGATGTGCTCTTCCCCAATTGACGGCGGCCGGCCGAGGTTGTAGGCCAGCAGAATTTCGATGATGTAGGCGGTCCAGAAAACACGATTACGAGCATCTGCTTCCATATCTGCGATGTGCAAGGAATTCGATGATTGATGCAAGCCTATCTCGACAGCCATCTGGATCTGTTAACATCGATCGATCGAACAGTACAAGAAGACTTACCCTGACAGCAATACCGGCCAACGGCCATTGGCCAAGGCTTGCCTTGCCATGCGAACCATATATGCACATCAACAATATCACCCTGATCAAAAAGATACTGGGCTGAAGATCGCTGGATCCCAGCTCGAAGTATTCCAGCGATTTGAGGTATAGGCGGACTGGATCTCTCTTGGGACTTGGTCGGCAACGCGGATCTGGTGGCTGCTCTCCATGTCCGACCTGCTCATTGAATTTGCCATCGTGGATAGCGCCAAGAGCGAGAACGAGGTAATACTCGGCCATCTTCAAAGCGTGCTCAGGTGAATGATCATGCCCGTGCTCATTCCTGGCTTCCAGCTCTTGGCAAGTCTTTGTGGTTGCTTCCAAATTTTCTGCTTCAAACAGAGGATACAATGGCTGGATCCATCTCAGATAGGATCCCACTAATCCTTCTGCTTCTCCACTATCAAAAACTCTGTCCTGGTCAGTCAATGCCAAGGAAATTTGAGACTGAGTCATATTTTCAGAGGCTGTGCGGACGTGCTCCGAGATCCGACTGGAAACCAGACGACGGGTTATGGCGGCGGCATGGCCGGTGAAGGGAACACCGCTGGAAGGTCCGAGATAGCGTGTTTCACCCGTGGCATTGAGAGCTAAAACACTTATTTCGGGAGCAGAGATAGCAGCTGAGAAGTTGTCATCAATCTCAAGCGGTCGGCCGACCATAGTCTCTTGCTCTGTGATAGTTTCCGGTCCAGTCTGGTCGTGTCTCCTTGAGTCGTCTAGTCGTTGCGCTTCGTAAGCACCATCTTCCATATGTCGCGCTGATGCTAACCGGGTACCGGTGGGCACGGAGCTGCAATCCAAGCCGCTAATAATTTGTATCTCCCGTTCTAGCCAGTCCACGCGTTGACGTAGCAGACGAATCGTCCTTTAAGGTGGCAGGTGTCAGTGTCAGCTGTCTCATATTCCGGGCGACGGCATACTCTTGATTCTCTGCCCTCTGCCGCCTTGTGTAAAGACGACACTCTACATTCGCATGTTGACAGTTCTCGCACGCAGGGTATCCTGAGCACTAGACGATGTAAGTCCATATGCATGAACATCAATCATGGTTCGCGGACGTATTACCCTAGTTTTTCTTGAATGACATCGGGAACATGTACCAAGACTCATGATCAAGACCCAATCTCCATCAACACTGTTCGGTGATTAGTTCACATGTAGTTGCCAAATTTGGGTTGGTGAGTGACAGTATCGATTTTTCAAAAGACGTGTACGGATTGCATTCCTGACGGATTTGCGGACTAATTCCAGATTTTGAGGATAACCAGGAGTGGTCAAGGGTATCGAATAGGATTGTAGGCACATGTAATGTCGCGTATTGGACTAGTCTGATCTGATGCGACAGTCGATTGGAGGTTCTTATTGAATTGAAAGTGGAAAGGGCAGAAACAGGCGCACAACAAATTCCCGCCCGAAAGCTGCGGCGACCGGAGCCACGGAGCCTGAATCATACGATTCGCTCTCGCTTGCAAACATGAGTCGCGCAAAATCGATGTCGTCATGCTTGATGCTCTCTTCGTGCTTGGCTCACGCGGAACTGGATCCGTTCAGTTTGCCGGCGCTTAGCTCTTCCACACTTTGCGCCTCGTGAGATCGTTACAGGTCCGACGTCGATAAGCGGGCGGTATGGCCAACGATTCTGGAAGCCAACCATCCTTCGCATGGGTCGAATATGATCCCAGAGCTTTGGCCGAGCGCAGAGCCGCTGGTGTCTACAAGCAGCAACGTCGGGTGGTGCGGGCGCATGTCGCACACACCTCTTCTGGCTTGAGAAAAGCCACCATGGCTAGAAAAGACTCCATCGCCAAAGTAGCAGGGCCGAAGAAAGCCATCAAAGCACCAAAGAAGTCCGGACACACGCCGGAAACACCAGAGGAGGCGGATAAGCTTGCTCACGATTCCATCTCGCGTCTATTCTCAAGGCTTCGTTCTCGCGACGCCAATGCCATCGCTTCCATGGGCCAGAAATCTGATCGCGTTTTGCTTTGGGATGCTTTCACTGGCGGTACCATATGTTTCAACGCCGCTATGTTTGTCGCTGGAACTTTTGCGAACACATGTGGGCTTAGTAGACATGAGTTGCATCATGATTTCGGAAGCGGGCTCTTATTCCTCCGAGGAGCCTTGCTTGACGGTATCCAGAGGACAATCGTTCACACGCCGAAAGACACATTGAACTCGATCTCTATTGCTCTTCTAGCAGGCTGGGAGCGCAGATTCGGCGATCATATGTCGTACAAAGTTCACATGCAGGCATGGAAAACTCTGCCTCTTGCTATGGGAGCTCTGGAAGACATCAGCATTGCTGCACTTACGGATGTGGCCATGAAATGTTTTCAGGAAGCCACCAACGAGCGATACATTGCCGAGAACGCTTTTTCGACCGTACGGTCTCTGACAAACGGCACAGTCGTGCCCAGTGGACTCCCATTAGGATTCCATATCATACCGACTGAACGCCCTGAAGCGTTGAGCTTGTTGAGTACTATCTCGAATTGTTCGAGGTTTGATTACAAACTACCTCGGTCCGTCGAAGAATTTCGTAAACTCGTCATAGAGATAATGTCGTGGAGTGCTAGCCATTCCGTCTCAGCTGTACCCGACGAATTGTACGAAGAGCAGTGGGACAACTTACAGCTGAATGCTTGCTACCACATTCGAGCAGCGATGATTTGCGCCAATGAACCCTTGATGTGGGCATGTATCAAAGCGCAAGGCCTGACATGGATTTTTGATACTCAAGCGGGTCTTGATATCCATGTAGAGTCGTGTCAACATCTCAAAACGCACGAGCTTATGGGAACAAAATACCAAGATTTAGCCATTTGGGCGAAGATGACACTGAACAGCCATGCAACTCCCACGAAAAGTGGAGATGAACATATCAGCGCGTTGCTGAAGCACACTGACATCAGGACCTGGGAACAAATGGAAGCACTGCTCAAGAAGTTTATGTACAGAGAAGAGCTATCTGGTTCGAAGTACCGGAGATTGTTCAATGCGCTTGTTTACTAGCTACACGACATTACGACCAGACATGAAGTCCAACAATAGAACAGAAACCAAATGCAGATCATTGCTATATCAACCACAAACAGTCCCAGAACCAATATGCTCATGTCGCAAGAAGACGTGGACGTCGCTCAGGCAATGGCGATCCAGCACCACAAGATCGAACGCCATATCGTTGGTGATGAAACACTGCATCAAAGCCATGCGCTCAATCAATCTGGATCAACAAGGCAGCAGATGTAAGCTTGGTCCTCAGTTCAGGCTTAATATAGTAATCATGATCAGTCAGTAAGGAACGCTCCCCATTACCTGCATTCAAGAACGTCAAAGCTGCAATAAATAGCGTCTTGAAACCAGCCGATAATCAAAGCTGACAACTAAGAGAGGTATCTTGCTCAATATCTACATCTTCCTCACTCATAGCTTGAACCTCGTCCCATTGAACGCAATGAGATCTGCTGCCACCTACTCGCGGTCGTCTTCGCAATCTTAGGAGAACATTGATGCCCCGACCGCTAGCAATGCTGCACCACTTGTTGCCGCAGCTAGACCATTAGAATTCTTGGTTGGTGGATTCTTCTTCCAGACCAATCTCGTCAATTGGCTGGCCAGCAGATGTTCTCGGAAATATTGATCCAGTCCACCAGCCATGTAGATAGTGTGATCCTCATGCATACCTCCGTGGTTCACACCCCAACAGAGACGATTGCCCACAACCTCGTCTTCATTCTTGCCAGTCTTGCTGCCTGGTTTGGACCAGACGCGGGATGTCTCATACAGTTCATTCCACTGGAACTTGTTGAACAGCCCGCTTCTGTCGGGTTCCCTCCAGACAAAGCGGCGGCCACCGTAGTAGAAGCGACGGGACGACCATCCGGACTTCTTGTACTGATCGGGCATCTCCAAGGTCAGACCAGTACGAGGGCCCGTCATCTTGAGCATGATCGCTCCTTGCGGGGTCTGCAGGATTCCGACGTGGAGAGCGCCAGCTGCGGGCAAAAACTCGCCTGGCCGTCGCAAGACAGCTTCGGTCATCGGAGCATCATTGTGCCAGACGGCTTGCAACGCATACAGAGTTGTTGTGTTGGTCGAGTCTTTGACAAAATACCAGTGGGATCGTTCGCCAGCAAACACCAATTCAGAGTCATGAGAGATGTGGTAAACTGTAGGTGGAGCCGACTGGTTCAGAGTGGGCGCGAACTTTGGAACATTATTTGGTCTTAGTCGTTGTATGTGCTCGGGCGCTTTGTCGTAGTAGACTTCGGTGTTTGTATTTTTTGGTTGTGCTGCAGAGTACTCGTGAAGGATTCGTTCATCCTAATCGTCTGATGAGCTTGAAAGCAGCAGAGGCAGATTAAGAATTCCTTGGGATATAGAGGACGGATCGAAATGGTAATAAGAGAGACTCACCAGACTAAGTAGTTGAAATTTCTCATCAACAGCGGCCTCGAGCTCAGCATCTGCGCTTAGGATTGTGGGAAGACTGATGAGTCCAGCAAAGGGAGGATTGGCCAAGGCACTTTTATCCAGAATGGCTTTGCGTTCACGGAGCACATCGAGTTGTCGTTCAAACATCTTGCGATGGATCTTCCGCATGTCCTTCTTGATTCGTGGCATGAGATTTTCAAGCAACTTGATGGCAATCTCATAGGCGGAGATGGCCGAATCAAACTGTTTACGATGTTCAAGGATGAAGCCCTCGACGACGACAGTATAGACTTTCACCATAGCTTGTGCTACATGGGTAGTCGAATCTGTATATGGCAGCGGATGAGCCGGAAGTTCTGGAGAAGTCATTGTATAGAAACAAAGTCTTTTTGTTGGTGGCGGGACTGAGAACTGAGTTGGAGAGCCTGGAGAGGGAAGTACGCAGGTGATAAGACATACTTGAGCTCAGCGCATGTTGCCTGATGCTACAATTTTAAGGCAATTTCATACATCGCAAGATCCAACTCGAAGGCAGTGCAGGTCAAGCGGCCAGAGTCACAGCTGATTTTTGAACACGTGAAATCCAGCTCAACGACGGTTTGGGTGCCTTGTGGACAATTTCGCGTGTTCAGCCAGACAGGATCAAGGGCTAAGCCTCTAGTTGCTGGGCAGGAGAGCGAATCTGGTGTTGGTAGCCGAGACAGCAGCAGAGCTTGGCTGTAAGAGGCACCATGTTGCGAGATGAGGCAGCGATGGTTCACAGACGGTAGACTCAATGGCTGTGTCATCCAGAATGATGGACATGGAGGGGCGCAGATCCCTTCGGGGTCGCCGATGTTCGCATGGTTGGTGCGAGTCGTTCGCGTCGGGCAGCAGATTTGGCCAAGACTTGAATGGCATTTCGCGTCGACGTCCAACGACGTGTCAACTTGAATGTTCGCACAGCGTCTTCAGCTTGGGAAGCACAGGAACGCACTGCCGCTACGGTACAAACCCTCGAGCGCGTCATCGAGACTGCATTCGCTCTGTTGCAACACTGCCGAGTCCGCCTACACTATGCCGCGAGCGACGTCGTTCGAGCGACAACATCCAGGACAAACCTGCTTGCCCTCTCATCGCGTCCCTGTTTGTTGAAAGAGAAGGCCCAACACAATATGTCGCGAAAGCTCCGCTACAAAGATAGCTTGATATCAGAACGTCGCAGCTATCAGCCAATGTGCACTTGACGTCGGTCGTGTCATCCAATGTGGCAGCGTCTGAAAGTGCTTCGCGAGTCTACTGATCATTGGTCCTGGAATTACCTCTGGTCAAGACGCCTCCTTTTGTCGAACAGACGAAGTATCTACATATCTACCTTCTCAATTTTGATGGTCGATTGTTTCTTGGAATCATCCGTCGTCATCACATCTTCTTCGACTGGCGGTATGGTTTTACCACGAAGCTGTGCCCATATTGCCTTCCGCACAGATCTCGCAAACAACGCATCCATCTCCTCAAGCGTGATGCCTACGGCTTTGTCAGTCTACCTCAGTTTGACCATAGACGCGGATCATGCATACCTTTGGTTTCAGGCACGAAGAAGAAGGACCAGATGCCCATCGCTATCAGAATGACTCCGAAGAAGAAATAAGCTCCATAACCGAGATCAGAGATCATGTACGGTGTCGACCTTGCGATGATGAACGATCCTAGCCACGTGTCCGCTGTCGTCAAGGCGACACAGAGCATGCGAATGTCCAGCGGAAAGATTTCGGAAGCTGTCCTCATCTGCCTTGTTTCAAAGCTAAGACACGCTACCACTTACCATACGTCCAGGTGATGCCTTGCCACGTCGCACAGATTATGAAGGCATTGACGTAAACGCAAACCATGGCCAGATAACCCCATCCGTTTCGTGTCGTGTCTCCAGCCGCCAATGCAGCGACCGGATCAGCTCTCAGAACATAGCCGCCGATGTACAACATTGGCACGCAACCAAGAGCAGCGCCCCAGATGAGACCCTTGCGTCGACCGACTCTCTCTACAACCACCATCGTGAATGTGATCATGCCCAACGTCTTGGCAATCCCATAGAAACCCGTCGAGAAAAGCTTGAGTGATGTGCCGGGTACCCCGAGAGATTCGAAGATCCGAGGTGCGTAGTATGTAATGATGTTGACGCCTGTGAAAGATTGTAAGAACATGAGGGCAAGGCCGATGCCCATTCGGTTTCGCACGCCTTTCTGGAACGACTTCTGAACTTGCTGCTTCTTGCTCATCTTGTTTGTGCTTCGCTCCTCGACTTGGGTCCGAATCTCATTCATCTCATTGCGAATATACGGATGATCTGCTGGAAGATTTCGCAGGTTACTGATGATGTTCTCTGCCTTGTCGAAGTTGTCACCTCTGGCAAGCCAACGTGGTGATTCTGGACAGAAAAACATGCCGACACACAGAAGAACACCTGGAACTAATTGCAAAGCCAAGGGAACTATCCATTGAGCTTTGTTATCAACATTGATAGTTCGATCTGTTGCGTAATTGATCCAGAATCCTACGAGGTAAGGTCAGTGAAGGTGCCATGCCGGAACATCAAATCAGCGACTCGCCTAACATGCCACCACCTTGCGATGCAATCTCGAAGATGCCGATCAAACGTCCACGGATGGAAGGTGGAGCAGTCTCGGAGATGTAGACCGGAACAACAAGAGAGCAAGCTCCAATACCGAGGCCGGCTACAGCACGTCCAGCAACTACCATGCTCATGACACCATTGGCGGCAGTCATCAGAGTGGCACCCACAAGAAAGACAGCCGATGCCGCCATGACAGTGAGTCTACGACCATACTTTTCCGCAAAAGGAAAGGTAAGCAGTGCTCCAAAGAAACACCCTGCCTGGAGCAAAATGTCAGCCGGGATTGACTACTTGAGGCACTGTAAAGTTACCTGGAAAGTGGAGACAATGTTTCCCTGCACCGTATCACGATGTTTAGAAGAGGCATTGGCAAGCCCGAAGTCTCTACGGAAAGAGTCAAGCGCCATGGTTCCTCCAATCACAGAGGTATCGTAGCCCACTGTGCAGGCCAAGTCAGTAGAGGTAAGAGTGTTGTCATGAGCTAACTCACTGGCAAGGGCACTCATTGAGGCCACAAAGGCCACAAGATGGATCTTCCAGTTGCGAACCTCGGGAGGATCCTGAGTACCGGGTGCGTGTGTCGACCATCCCATTATGGTTTGATTGATCTCTTTGAGAAAGAAGATAAGTATTAAGTGTGCTGTCTGGATCGTCTCAGACTTTGTAGAGAGGTCTGCTACTTGCTGACTGCGAGCTATAAGCCATGAATCTGTCCAGTCAACGAGGATGGCTTTATAGCACATTGCTACTGACTACCAATACACCATGATCTCCATTCTTGTACACCACACACCAGCACATGAGGTACCAAGACATCCCCCAAGATATGCCCAGCCATTTCCCCATGGGTTCAGAAGACAGATATAGAGTTGTTGCGGAGCAAGATCTCTATCTCTCCACATTCCTCCACACTTCTCCGCATTGCAACCATCTTGTAGTGGCGTGATCCAAATCTTCACCTGACGGCATGTTACAACCTCGGGTGTCCATGAGCTGTCGTTCAGGCGCCTGGTACATATCAGTCGCATCTTCTTGGCTACTTGAGTTGCAATGGGAGCCTGGACAGTGATTGCCCAATGAAACCTGCTGAATGCTTCACTGAACGCAACAGCGAAGACAGAACCCAAATGGTCAAATGTCCGTGGTCAGCGCGCATGTCATTCGCTTCATAATCAGCCGTACTGCTTTTGAGCGCTACTCGTATTACGAAGTCCGTTTGAACTTGCCGCAAGTACTGCTAGCTGTTCAGCATCTCACACCATTTTCTTGGTATGCCATGTTGCAGCAATGGGCTTGCTGAGGAGAAACAAACACCATTGAATCTGCCGTTCGTACTATCTCTCCGCCCGTCTACCCCGCACAAAAGAACAAGCTGCTAGGGATTCAATTGTGCAACAAGAAGGATCGCCAAGTCAGCGCCATGGCAATACAAAGAATTCCCAAGCTCCCAAGAGCACTGCCACACTCCATCTCTCACGCTGATTCGCCATTCACGATCTATCCTGGTCTTCAACACCGCATTGAGTCGATGAACTTGTCACACGTATTCTGAAGCGCGCGATAAGATGCCGCGCGTACGGATTGTAAATGCCTATAAGTCACCTTGACCGGCAAACCATATTTCTCACGACCACGACCCGACAAGGCTGTACTCTCTGCAGTCATCTATCTTCTGACTGTCGCTTCACTCTACCTCTATCGATGGGAGACACTTATATCAATCCTCATGAGACCCGCAACCAGGCCGACTCCGGCAACACGTCTGCAGATGGCAGCGCCATTGCTACTCTCGACGGCTCTGTCGATGAACCACCTATACGAAGCGCGGGCTCGTCCCATTATCTGACTGAAAAGTCTAGGGGCGAGACTCGCTACATAGAAAAATTACCCATAACTGAAATTACAAATGACCCCGATCAAGATGATATCGCCATTTGTGCTCATACCTTGACTGGCATCGAAGTTATACGCCGTCTTCAAACCAATGCCGAGTATGTTCCCCCATACACATTTCTAACCGTACTAATAGGAAACAGCAAGGGTCTCTCCGAACATGATTGTGTCTTACGTCGCGAGAAGCATGGTCATAACAAGCTCGAGAGCTCCGGAAGCGTGACCTGGTACAAGATTCTCCTTCGGCAAGTCTCCAATAGTCTGACCCTGGTCTTGGCCATCGCTATGGCACTTTCCTACGGGACTGGAGATTTCATCGAAGGTGGCGTCATCACTGCTGTCATCGTTCTGAACATCGTCGTCGGCTTCTTCCAGGACTATCGCGCAGAGCAAACGATCCAATCTCTTCGTGCCATGGCAGCGCCTGCATGTCGCGTTGTCCGCGAGAATGGCACCATGCTGAGTATTAAAGCTGAAGACCTTGTTCCTGGAGACATTGTGCAGCTTGCCACTGGAGACATCGTACCTGCGGACTTGCGCCTCTTTTCAAGCATCAACTTGGCCACGGATGAGGCCCTTCTCACCGGTGAATCGAAGCCTTGCACCAAGGATGCTCTTAGCACACTCAATCATATCGAGTGTGCTCTGGGGGATCGTATTAACATGGCTTACTCATCCACTACCGTCACGCGTGGCCGAGCTCAAGGTATCGTTACCGCGACTGGTATGAACACCGAAATTGGCAAGATCGCCCAGCTTCTACGTGACAAAAAAGTTTATGAGGACAGTTCCACCTTTGTTTCCCGTGCGGTTCGACGTGTACTTCACGGCATCAAAAGCGCACTTGGTCTCATTGGAACTCCTTTACAGGTCAAGCTATCCTACTTTGCCTTACTCTTGTTCGCACTTGCCATTCTGCTAGCAGTCATCGTCTTCTCCACCAGTCTTTGGGATATTGATGGGGAAACCCTGATATACGGTATCTGCGTGGCTGTAGCTGTCATTCCAGAGTCTCTCATCGCTGTTCTGACCATTACGATGGCCATCGGCTCCAAAGCCATGGCTGCTGGCAATGTCATCGTCCGTAAACAAGCTGCTCTCGAAGCTGTCGGTGGTGTCACCAACGTCTGCAGTGACAAGACTGGTACTCTCACTCAAGGCAAGATGCTCGCAAGAAAGGCCGTTCTTCCAAGCGGAAAACTTCTGACCGTTGTCAATGAACTCAGTCCCTTCGATCCGACTCGTGGAGATGTCTTGGTTGACGATGTTCGGCTTGAGTCAGCCTCGGTCAACGAGGTTGATGAACTTCGTCATTTCTTCTCGACCATCGCTTTGTGCAACATGTCGAACGTTCTTCCACCCCCGGGTGATCAAGATCTATGGTCTGCCACAGGCGAGCCTACAGAAATTGCTTTGCATGTCCTGGCACGTCGTGTCGATCAGGGCAAAGATGAAATCCTCTCTCGTTCCGGCATGTCTCTGCTCACAGAACACTCTTTTGACTCATCGATCAAACGCATGTCTGTTGTCTACAGTCGTGTTGACCCAGATCGCACCATCTTCTCCTTCACCAAGGGTGCTACTGAGGCACTTCTGCCCCTTCTTGACATGGCAGACGGTCAGCGTCGTGAGATCCTACATCAGGTCGATACCATGGCCAGTGAAGGTCTACGTGTTCTCTGTCTTGGCTATCGTCAGCTCGATGAAGCGGACTTAGAGTCCATCACTGATCGTGCCGTCATAGAGGCCGAAGGCTGTCTCACCTTTGCCGGCCTTGTTGGCCTCTACGATCCTCCTCGTCTGGAATCTGCTGGCGCAATCAAGCAATGTCAAGCAGCTGGCGTTGTTGTACACATGCTTACAGGAGATCATCTCAAGACTGCCACCACAATCGCTAAAGAGATCGGCATCCTTGGGCCGGACGTGTATGGCTCAAATGCTCAGACTGCTGTCATGACTGCAATGGACTTCGACAAGCTGACTGATGACGCTCTTGATGTTATGGATCCATTGCCGTTCGTCCTTGCACGTTGCAGTCCGACTACCAAGCTTCGCATGTTGGAGGCACTTCATCGTCGTGGCCGCTACTGTGTCATGACTGGTGATGGTGTCAACGACTCACCCGCTCTCAAGGGTGCCGACGTTGGTGTCGCCATGGGTTTGAACGGCAGTGACGTTAGTAAAGAAGCTGCGGACATGGTTCTAACTGATGATAACTTCGCTTCAATCGTCTCTGCCATTCGCGAGGGTCGTCGCCTATTCGACAATATCCAAAAGGGTTTAGGGTAGGGTTTTAGGGTTTTAGGGTTTAGGGTTT